CCCCAAAACCCCAAAACCCCAAAACCCCAAAACCCCAATCATATAGAAAATTTAAATTTAAAATTTAAAATCTTAGCTCAAATGGAGTACGCTAATAATAGACTGAAGGAGCTCTCATTTAATTCGAATTATGAACTCAAGAATAAAATCTTGGGGCCTACGTCTGCAGGGAATTTTGCAGATAAGGAAAATAATGATGTTTTTAACCAGCTATGGAGCTGAACAAGGGAAGGTAAGCATTTTTCTTTGGAAATTTTAACAATTTTGGTACCCTTTTGTAGGGGTTTATGTGATTGGTAGATATGTACCCAAGAGAAACTCAAGAAGAGACTAATAGGACATATGATAATTATCCCAAAGACTCACTGTCTTTTTCAGAGCAGAAGTTTCCACAGAATCAGCCGAAAATGAGTAATAATTTTGACACGCAGAACTCTGTGCAGTCTACAGCTCCGTTCTTTGGGAATGATGATAACTCTGGGCGGGATACTCTTCTATTCAAATGAAGAGAGGCTATAGAATCTCTTCAGGAAGAAATAGAGGACTATCAAAAAGCCTTGGGAGAAAGAGATTTCTTACTATCTCAAGCACAGGAAAGAGAAGATCAACTACTTCTTTCCAAAAGTAATGCTAATAAAGAGGTTGAGTCTTTAACCCGAAAACTCCAAGAGTCTAGAGAGGAGCTAGCCAATTATAAATCAAAAGCTGCTGGTAAGGTCCCATTTTGTAAACTTTCTAGAAAATGAGGAGAAGTATGACCAAGAATGCCATAAGCTACTTGAAGAAAACAAAAAGCTAAGATGTGAGAACATTGAGCTTGAAAGCTCAATCAGTAAATACAAGATCAAACTTGAATGCATTGAGGAGACAGTAAACGACCTTAAGCTGAAAAAGACGTCTTTAGAGGACTCTCACGAAAGGCTAGAGGTTAAGGTCAAAGATCTTAAAACCACAATTAACGAATACGAGACAGCTAACCAGCAGTTAGACACTAAGCTCATCTGGGCAGAGAAAACCTACGAAGAAGGGATGTCCAAAATAATGACTGAATATGAAAAAGAGCGTGAGCTTCTTCAGAAGAAGAACGAAGATCTCATCAAGAAGGCACAGAACAGCCAATATGACCGGGAAGCCAAGATCAAGGCCAAAATGAAGGAGAAAATTGTCGGAATCCAGAAAGGCATCGAAGCTAGTAATGCCGAGATCAACAAGTTGAGGGAAGAGAAGCAGAAATTATTGAAGAAGAATATGAAATTGGTTCAGATTATTGATGAATTCAAGATCTCCCAGCGATCAGATTCTGGATTATATTCCAAAGTTTTTAAGTAAAAGTTCTTAAGGACTTGGGTTTTTACTTTCTTAGGTATGTTCGCTAGCAATTTAGATCTGAAGGTTATGATAGACATGAAGGTTAACCAATCTGTGCATGAGATGCATTAATCCTCTAAGTTGAGTACTATCCTAGTACTATTAGGGTCTTAGTTGGATATTTGGTACTATTTTAGGCTGAAGTAGGAAGAATTGGTTGGTTTTGACTGGCTAAGTTGAAAATAGGGTAAAATTATAGCAAAATTTCTTCAACCTTCATCTTGAGATTTGGGGTTTTGGGGTTTTGGGGTTTTGGGGTTTTGGGG